CCTTTGGATTAAGACAGTAAGCAATGTAGTGAAAAGATATTTGGATCCCAGGCAAGGAAAGTGTAGAAGACAGATAGTATATAATTATGATATGATTTTAAAATTGCCATAAATGCAAGGTCAATCCAGAAAAATTTCACACAATATTCCCAAGCAACAGATGTCAACTTCACAGATGAAAGAGAACAAATAATAAACTATCCATGGTCAAGGATAACTCTGCTCTGCTCTCAAAACTCAGAAAAAAACAGATTCTAAATAATAAGGCTAAAATAATAGTATCAATAGCTGGTCCTGGGCAAGTGCCAGCTTGCCTGGATAAATTTAGGCAGCTTTTAAAAATAAGATTATCTGGGCTCCATCTCTGGCATTTCCCTTTCAGGAGATCTAGAGTAGGAACTAGAAACTTGTATTTTTCAAATGATTCCAATGTGCAGCCTGAATTATAACTCTCTTACCCTGAAACCAGATGCATTGATATCAGTCATTAATGTCCCATGCTCGGTTGTTGGGGCTATGTCAAAAAACTATACATCTACATGTCGAAGCTTTTGTTTCTTTCCAGTTGATCAACTTAACGACAGGTAAATTTAAGCCAGTTTGGACCAATAGAACACTGCATGGGACTTACTTGAAACTTCTTGGAAAGAAAAGCAACTTTCTGTCCTTCCTGCTGTGTGCGAAGGGGCTGAATTAGTCCCACTCAGTGCTGATGGCCAAGGCATGGCCATGAGGCAAGATAGACTCATGATGTTACCTATGCTGTGGATATCTCAGTGGAAATGGAAGCAGCCAGGGTCTCACAAGACATTTCTGAGTCACCATATCAATGGGCTCTGGATTTTAAGTTACATGTGATCATATGCTGGGGACTATAAATGTGGCTGTCATAGGAACAGTATTTATGAAACACCAGTTTCTAAGATACACAAAAATTATATGCTCTATTTCTCCATTAAGGAGACAGGTAGATATAACAGAGCTTTACACGTTTTCAGCAACTGGGGCAACCCAACCGTTCAAAGACCTTGTAACACTTCTAGCTAGGAATACTTAGTATACAGAAAATATTGTCATTATGACAGATACAATTTCTAAAAAAGAAAAAAATACTTGTGGACATAAGCTAAGTCTTGTGATATTCAGCAGCCTCTCCAAGGCTCAGATGATGAACTTCTGATAGTCTAATAGTAGATATGATAACCTTGATATAACAGCAAGGAATCAACAGCAATGGACAATTACAGTTAGCATTTTGGGAAACACTGTAATTGTCTTCCTGAAATATCCTTCACATTCTGCTACGACCATGATCGTTCCTCAAGTTCTTGCTGAAACCCAAATTTCTTAGAACAGGCTACTTAAACTCCAAGTGGTACACTTCTCTTCCTGATGACCAGAGCAGTTGTAATTCACATTGCTCAGTCAGCAGCCATGGTCACTGTACCATCATTTTTTCATTGTCTATGATCTGATGCTTGATAATGGTGCAATCATATTTGGCATGTTTTTTTCTCTTAATACTTCTTGGACCAACTGAGAATCAATAGCATAGCTGTTGCTTTTATAGCTTTTTCTGGTAAATACCAGGTGTTGTGCTCAAGTCCACGAAGATCCTCAAAGACCACAAGGGAGGCAGACCCACTGAACTGTAAAAGCAAGGTTTTATTGTCCATCCAACCATGGCAGGCACCCTGTCTAGCAAGCTAATGCAGAAACCTCCAGAGGGAGTGAAGTTCCCTGTCTACTGCTAGGTTTTGAAGACAAAAGTTACAGGATTACATCAGTAGGTACAAGTTGGTTTCTGAGTGGTTGACATTTGGGAACAATTAGGAGAATTTCTCAAACTCATATTTTGGCATGAAATACCTATGTACCAATTATTTTCATTGGTCAGTGCTGAGAGGGAACATTCTGTGGTTCCTATGGTTTTGTTTTGTTACTTGCAGGTGGCCTGTTGTTCATAGATACCAATAATTTTCAGAACTGTATCTCGGAGACTTACAGGTGAGATTTTGGTCATCCCCTAGAGATTTTTGTTTTTTGTTTGCTAGTTTTTTTTTGTTTTTGTGGCCAAACAGTTCCCAGAAACCAAACATCTAGGAGGCTATGAGGGATCTGGAGTTTCTTTGTGTTCAGTTTTGGCCCAAGGCTCCAGGAGGCCAGGAGATCTGGAGTTGGTACTGTGTGCTGAGTCAGGAGTCTACATGTCCTTTCTGTAGCCTGTCATGGCTGCTAAAGCAGGGGCTAAGTGAGAGTCTGGTCCATTCACCATGTGACTCGTTTTACAATATTTTCATAGCTTCCATGCCTGGAGCACCTTACTTATGGACTACAGAGGACCCTGCAACCTCTGGAACAAAGCAGTGGATAGGTAGAATGAAAGGTTCCAAAGATTATCACATGGGAGGAGATGCATCTTAGTACAGACACAGTTCATGGCTATAGAAGAGGAGAGTTGAGGAGGCTTTTCAAATATTTTGTTCAAAGACCTGATGAAGGGTAATTATGCCAAAGTTAACTTCATGCTTGGGCAAATTGTTCTGTTTTGATAGGGGTTGATCTGAGATAAAGGTAGATCTAAAACTCTGCTTCCAAATCCATGGTACAAATTTCCACTTCCCTTTCAGGCTACAATTGGTTGGTGATTCCACACTTACATTTCTCAAACTCTGTAAAAGGAGTTCTTAATTGGTCTAGTTAATAAAAACCTAGGGTCAGATATATAGGAAAATGCTGAGAGATCAGAGATAAGGGGCAAGCCACAGCCACACCTTACCTCCTTAGCATCTCAGCAGACAAGACAGTTCCTGTTTCTCCCAGTTTATATGCTGTTTCCCCCCAGCTATCTCACTTCCTGTCTGTCTGTACAGACCTCCAGACCTCTATGGTTAGCTAGTGGCAAGCTCTATCCTCTGACCTTCAAACAGGCTTTATTTGTACATACAAATCACCACAAAACTCCTGTTCTCCAACAGGACGAGGCACCTAGGCATCTATACATATCTTCTGCTAGGGCATAAGCTCCTCAAACTAGTCTCTCCTATTTTGTGCTGGGTAGTGGTTTAAATATGGACTCTGGATTCAGATCATCTGTGTGTTCCTGATTTTGGTGGTGAAATGTGGGGATTAAGTGAGAAATGTGTATAGAACACTCAGCATAGTAATAACTCATAAATCAAAAGAGAGTAGACATTACAAATCCTATAGAGCAGAGCTGTGCAGTAAAACAGAGGGAGCTCAAGAAAATATTTCTTAAGTAAATTGGATTTATAAATGAATGAATAGGTCTCACCAGAGTGCCTCAGAGATAGATTGTTACACAGGACAAGACATAGCATGTCCAGTACAAAGGATGGAATCTGGCATGGCCAGATGTCACTGCTTTCAAATTCCCAGTCATGAATTGTCCTTCTACCATGAAACAATCCTGCAGATTTTATTTGGTTTACTGTCTTTTGAGTTTTATTCTGTCCCTAAGTATTTTGAGCCTTTGAGGAATTGTTTGGAGGATGACCACCCAGTGTTTTGTAATGCAGACTTGGTTGTGAGAAAAATACTACGCATTTCCTCTGTAAGCACTTGAGAGAAGCCCGGCATCGAGTTGACTCTTCATGCACCCTGTGCATATTCAGGGTTACTGGTGGAACTGTATAAGTTGAAATTATAGATTGTATGCTTTATTATCAAAGCACAACTTGAATATTTCAAAGGCCACTCTCATTATTATACACATAGATACACTTGTGTTCATCAAAACTTCCCCAAATGTTTTCCTTCATTTGTTTTGTTTTGTTTTACTTCGCTTTGAGATAGACTCTCTCTGTTGTTACTCAAGTTAGCCTCAAACCCATGGTTCTCCTGCCTCTGACTCCAGAGTGCTGGAATGATTTGCAACAACATGCAGGCCAGCGAGTTTATTTATAAGTTTTGAGGGATATTGTTTCCTACAGCAGAGCAAAAGGCTCTCTGTGGGTTTGTTTGGGGCTTTTGCTGTTGTTTTGTTTATAAAATATCCCTGGAAGCTTCCTGATGTCTCTTTAGCCTGATCTCAAATTTAGAACTAAGGTTCTTCAGGGGAGGAAGAGGAAAGTGGTGCCAATAGCAAGCTCTGGAGAACCTGACAGTTTATTCAGTAGCCGAAAAAAGATCCTTGGCATTGGCATGATGTTTTTGTAAAACATAAAATGGATTCTTAAGAGTACAGAAAATCCCATCAGACAACAGCAAGCAGCGGGAAGGGATTTTGTGCAAAGTCAGGCACATAAAACGCTCACTTCCTGATGGCCCTATGCATCTGCACATAAGTTAGTGGATGGCTGGGCCTGTTATCCATTCTCTACACATCCACCTTAGAGTTGGCAAGTCCCAAAGAGCCACATGGCATCCCCTCTGGCTCGCACAAAAGACACAGGATAAGTGCAAATGACATGAGCAACTGAGAGATGTTCCAGTGACCTCTCAGAAGCCGAACTGAGGGTAGAGCACTTGCCTCTGAAGCATTAGCCTTGAGTTCAGATCTGAAAGCTGGGTGTTGTGAATCACCTGTAACTTCCACTAGGAAGGGGGTAGTGGTAAAAAGTTAACACAACTGCCGACATCTATAACCCCATCACTAGGGCAAGAGTAGAGACAGGCAGATCCCAGGGACTCACTGACCAGTCAGTCAAACCGAAACTCAAGCCCCGAGGTCAATAGGAAACCTTTTCTCAAACAGCAACCTCCTGCTCTTAGATAAAATAGTCAAGAGTAGTAGAGGAAAATACCCAAATACTGACTCCAGGCTTCTGCACGAATGGGAGCATACACACACACACACACACACACACACACACACACACACACACACACACACACACACACACGGGGTGGGTGGGCAGAATTAATGCAATGGAAACCAAATACTGAAAGGAAATATTAACAGCTTGAGATGATGACTATAACTCCTGGAGTTATGCACCCTCCATGCTCGCCACTTGAAACACTTTAGCAAAGAAATGTAAGGAGAAACTACACACATCTTTTAATGCTCTCAGCTGAAAAGCAGCAGAAGAGAATGCTAAAATTTTCCTCTTAATTGTTGGACAAAGGAGGGATGTCGTTCCATAATGTCTATCGCGGTCCTCGGTTTGGCATCTGTGGCCATTTGCTGGGAGCTTTGTCTCCATGTGAGGGATGCCACATACCACCCCGGTTCCCACGAGAGCCAGTGGTCTGTTTCCTCTTTGTCTTCCTTCTGAACCGCCACCGCATGCCTTCCACCTCCTCAGACGTGCTGTCTTGCATTATCCAACTAAAAAGATGCTTTACCAGCGCCAGCGTCTTCAGATGTGGTTCTCTCAAATAGCATCCTACCGGCAACTGAAGAGTAACCCAGCATCCATCAGTCTCTGATGAACGAGTAGCTGAGGGAGACAAGACTGCCTAAGGCTTAAATAAACAACAATAAGAGCATGTGCAGATTCCAAACAAACACACACCAAATTTAATTTTAAAAAATCTTAAAAATCCTTACTGCCGCAAAACACAGCATTAGCAGATGACGCTACCGGGCTTTAAATTTTCATCTTGAATTATCTTCTAAGTGTTTCCTTGAAGACTAGGGTTCCTAATCTACACTCCCAAACGGCCTCTCTTGGGGGCAGACAACTATTGGACTTGTTAAGAGTACCCCTCTGGTAGAACCAGAGAATGTTTAGGCTCATGTCCCCTAGCTACCCCACAAATGCCGGCTCAGCCCCAAGGGCTCGGGGTTAGGAAAACTGACAGCCTCCTGTGGTAGGAGTGCTGAGGGCCTCCTGTACTGAAGGAATTAGAGAAGAGCCGGAAAGTCTGTGGTCCCTGCAGGCAGTTAAAGACTTCATTAATTCAGTACTTGACACCAACGGTGTAGAAAGAACTCTGGTCCCATTTGGCAGCTCCACCGAGACAGCGATATCTGACCTGGTCCTGGAGAAAAGCCAAGAAGCTTTGAGACAGAAGCAGAGACCAAGACGACATTCGGTAGCACACTAGCCTGTCCTCAGAGGTGGCAGGACAAGAGGCAGGAGCCAAGAAGGGGCCAGGGTCACTGGAGTCTCCAGGTGCATTGGCCTTACAGAGGTCCTCCATGTGGGAGAGCCTGATTCTCTTTGATCCTCAAAAGGGGACATCAAAGAACAGACAGGCTCTTTTCCTCTTGGCAAGAAGGGAGCACGCAGCTTTTGCAGGTCTGCTTCCCACAGCCTGAGGCTGAACCCGGAGCTGCCCACAGCTGCCCCTCGCCTTGCCCCTGATTTTCCATGCCCGGCCCCGGTGCAGATGCACTGACTGCTTCCTCCACAGGGAAGGAAGGAACCAGAGGACCCCGGGGGCGGGGAGATGCGCACAGGAAGAGCACAGGGGCCTGCTACTGCTTCACCGTGAGAGTCCTCCCTGAGCAGGTGACTCCAGGGAGGGGCGGAGAGTTCCTCCACTTTGGCATATAAGGGAGGAAGGAAAACAGAGTTAAGTCTCCACATGGACTTCGGCGCATACCAGTTTTTCATCTTGCTTGTGACTGTAGTCGGGCTTCCTGTGCTTGACCCCACATGACTCGGTTCTGTCGGGAGGCAGCTGGTGGAGTAAGGCCTGTGCTGCCGCGCAGACGCCCAGGGGTGGGGGTGGGAGGTGGGGGCCTGGAGGTGGTTGCCCTGACTCCAATTTCGTCTGCCTCCGGGTTAGCAGTGGCAGCTAAAGGTCCTGTGAAAAACGTCTGGCTGCCTCTGTTGGCGGTCCTCCAGAAAGAACTGTTCGCAGGCCTGTTCTCAGGCGGCCTCGTGCCAGGGCGCCTCACTGGGAACACAAAATGCACTGCTTTTCTTTTCACTGACCTCAAAGAGATCCTTTTATGGACAGGCCCAGGCCGGCCTCCCCCTCTTAAATAAAAAATAAAATCCCCGTTGAGAAACTGACCTCCAGTGGCCTGGGCAAGGCAACAGGTGACCCCCTCAGTGAGTGGGCGGGCGTCAAAGCAGCTCTGTCCCTGGTCCCTCGTCAGAACCGAGGACAAAGGCAGCTCTCAGTCTGAAAGGACACTGGCACTGAGTCGGGATGGACAGTGGAAGTGGACCAGTGGCAGGGCCCTGGGTCTCGAGCTTCCCAAAGAATCCCTGCTTGGTCTCTGATCTTTAAAGGCTCCTGGGAGTTTGCATATCACGTTAGCAAACAGACTGCATTGAGGAAAAACTCCTCAGCATTTTCCCTAAATGCCTCGGTGAGGTTAGCTTAAGTGCTGAACGGTATGACTACTTCCTCCGCAGATGGTTGCAGAGAGGAGATTTCACGTGATCCCAGAGTCTCCCCGCATCCCTGACCAGGTGGGAAATGATACCCTAAGTTACAAAGATTTTTCTCAGAGGCTGTGGTGTGTGAGATTATTTCCAGTCTCACAGAAAGTGTTAATCTGGTATTGTTCACTTAATGAACTGTCACGAAGCATTTTAACATAATGAAGAATGAACTACGGCTCACATGTCAGTATCTTGATTGTCATATAGATCCTGATTTAAAGAATGGACCACATTTGCATCATAGAACTGAAAGCCGGAGACCTTTGTTATTTGGAATATTAATGGGTTTAAGTCCATCATAATGACCTTTTTATGCATGTACTTAGATTTATATATTTATTTTATGCTTGGGGGGGTAATGGAAAAGAGAAAGTTACCAAAAAGCCCTGGCTTCTTTTTCTATTGGGAGACTTGAAAGAGACCGATCACTGGTGGGCTTGAGAGAACTTGTGTTCTCAGTTTTATTTTAGCACAATTCTTTTAGATTCCTTACTAATTTAATATGTGTTTCAAATTCCTATGGCATCTAGCAGTAAATCAGCCATAGGGAAGACAGGGAAACCATGCTGACTTCTCCCGAATGGGATATAGGACTTATGGATTTCTGTGTCAGTGAATCCAAGGAACTGACTTGGAGCTAACCCAGAGGAAATAAAAGAAGGAGTCCAGCTTCAAGTTCAGCTTGTTTGACGCCTCCTATTTGGCTCTTCTAGCCATGGGGAAGGGTACTAAGGGAAACTCGGAGTGAATTAAGAGTTCACTGAGAAGTTAAGGCATTCGTTTGCATCAGCATCTGGCCCTGGCCTGTCAGGGCTGGTTAACCTTTGCTCAAGCACAGAAATTGTTTCTCTCGAGGCCTGTGTCTATGAAACGGAGGCACTTCAAGCGCAATTATTTCAGAGCTCTGAGTCAAGAATAGTATGATAGTGATAGTCACTGCCGTGGGATCGTTGTTCACTGTATGCAAAATGATTTTTTTGTGCACAAAAGAACTTCGAAAAGAAAGGCTGAAGTAAAAGTTGCTGCTCTGCCTGTTGGAATTCCACCTCCTCTAAGAGCAGGAGAAATCACACGGGGTGTCAAGGGGATTCAGACCTGTAGCCAGAGCTGCCTGGGACGTAGAGAAAGGAGAGTCACAAGTTCAAGACCTACCTGGGATACACAGGGAGTTTAAGGCCAGCCTCAGTACATCAGTGAGACACTATCATAATAATAAATTGCTTTCTTCGGAGCATTTTATCACAGGATCAGAAAAAAGAGCTACAAGCAAGCCTGATGGTTGGGACATGAAATGAGTATAGCGCCCTTATGGGAAGTAAAGACAGCTGGACAGAAGCAGACAAAAAGAGAGTTGTCCTGCTGCAATACATATCTTGAAGTTCAACTCCCATGGGTGAAGTATTTTTAAAGTATATGGAGAGAAACTATAAGATTTGTTTCAAGTAGAAGGTCAATGTCATGACTTAGACAAGAAAGATAAAAGACATAAAGTGCCTAAACTCATTAGTTAATAGATAATAATCACATATGAATAGCATGCAGCTTTGTAGCATAGTTTTATTAATACACACACACACACACATATACTTTTATAGCTAGCATGCCAAAATTTAAGTGTGGAAAACAAAATTGGCAAGTCTGGCACTTGGAGATGTTATTTTGTGGTGGGACACATGTCTATCATGAGCAAGGCATGAAGTTTGACCCTCAGTATCATGGGGGAGAGAAGAGAAAAAGAAGAGGGGAAGAGAGGAAATGGAAGGAGAGGGGGAAGAAAAAAACATGGCAGAGAGGGGAGGGAAGGCAAAGGATTAGAAAGGGAAGGGAAGAGAAGTGAATTAGATATGGTGGCTCACATTTTTAATCTCATCACTTGAGAAACTGAGGTATAAATATTGAAATGAATTCAAGGCCAGACTGAGTACATAGTAAGTTCTAGACTAGAATATGACCGGGAGTTACAACTTCAGTTAGGCTGACCAGCCAGTGGACCCCAGAAATCCTTCTGTTTCTACTTTGAGCTCCAGGATTGCAAAAATGTCCCACCACTAGGCCTGTCTTTTTGTTTGTTTGTAAGTATGGGCACCAGGGAATAAAATTGAGGTCCTCTTGCTGGAGAAGCAATGACTTACTGATTGATTTGTCTCTGCTTCCTGATGCACCAGGATCAGCATCTGCCACAAGCTGCCAGAATCATAAACTGACTGTCCCACCATGCTTTTGACATCTTGGTAAGTAAAACCCTGTGAAACATGTACCCAAAGCAGTCTTGCTCTTAAATTGAGCTATGTTATGGTAGTTAATCTCAACTGTGGACTTGATGTGATTTAACATTCACCTGGAGACAAACCTCAGGGTGTGTTTAGGAGCACATTTGCAGAAAGGTGTAACTCAGGTGGGAGCACTGACCTTGAATGTGGGTAACATCATCGCATGGGACAAGGTCCCATGAAGATTACAGAATGAGTAAAGCTTTTGTGTCTCTGTCAGTCGAAGTATTTGCAGAGGATTAGGAGGCAAGGCATTGTTTGGTGAGGTGGGCTTTTGAAACCTCAAAGATACCAGGCCTAGTATCTTCCTTATCTGCCTAATGCTTGCTGATCAGGATGAAGAGCTCTCAGCCCCATGCCTGCTGGCCACCATGCTTCATGCTGTGATGATCATGAACTCTAAGCCAGCTCCCACTTAAATGCTTTCTTCTATAAGAATTGCCTTTGTCTTGGACTTAGCATCTCTTAACAGCCATACAACAGTAAATAAGGCCATTGACAACTGAAACACTAACAACTTCACCTAGCAATAAAAGAGGAAAAGCAAGTTTGACATTTGGTTTGGGAAATGATAGTTTCAAAATTAACCAAACAGGCAGAGAGACTCATTGGCCAGCTAAATAAACATTTCCCAATTAATTAACCTGTAGGTCATCTTTTGTATGGGATAATACAATTAAGAAGTGAATCAGATCCTCCAAATAGGTCATTGTCTTACAGATAAAGAGTTTGAGCAGTGTTTTAAGGACAACTCTATACTGTGGATTCAATATTGGAACATTGTGGCAGCCGGCCTTTTTGTTGTGGTAACAAATACCCAAGAGAAATATAGTTCAAAGGAGGAAAGAAGTTTTGGCTCAGGACTTCAAAATTGCTGTCCATGGTCATCTGGCGCCACTAGTATGAACCTGAGGTGGAAAAAGGCAGTGTCATGGAAGCAGGCTGTGGTAAATGATCACTGCTCACCTAGTGAGCGTAACATAACACCCAAAGTCACCCCCACCCCGTGATCATTTCTTGCTAAGCCACAGCTCTTAGTTTCTACCACCTAGTAATCAAATTATGAACATACTAAATTATGAATGCATCAATGGATTAATATTCATGATCAAGGAAGTCCCCAAAACTCAGATTAGGACACTGCACTGGTGAGGGAATGTCCTTCTATATGCTGTGAATATATGATGTTTTTATTGGTTGATGAATAAAGCTGTTTCAGCCAATGGACAGGCAGGATATAGTAAGGCCAGAAGTATAGGCAGGGTTACAAGACTAGGGGAACTCTGGGGAGAGAGAGGCAGAGAAATAGTCGAGGGAGAGACACCATGTAGCTGTCAAGGAAGAAAGAGACCCAAGTATCACCGGTAAGCCCAGACCATGTGGAGATACACAGATTAATAATTAAGAGAGAGCTAGACAATAAGAAGCCTGAGCCATAGGCCAAATAGTTTATAATTAAAATAAGCTTCTGTGTGTTTATTTGGAACTGAAGGGTGGTGGGACCAGACTGGAAAGTAACTTCTGTCTACACTGTACTAGAGACCAAGTCTTCAATGTATGAGCCATTTGAGGAGACACCTATAACTAAACTAAGTCCTGAAGAAGTATTTGTGGGTACAGATGTCAAAAAAGGGTGATTTGAGGTCACAGAGATAGATGGTGTGAGGGAAAGAGAGAGGGAGAATGATGAGGAAGGAGAGAGAGAGAGAGAGAGAGAGAGAGAGAGAGAGAGAGAGAGAGAGAGAGAGAGAGAGAGAGATTAAAGAGGGGGAAATCCCCAGAGTGGATTGGGCTTCTTGAGGGAAATCCCCAGAGTGGATTGGGCTTCTTGAGGGAGTCACACTTTGATGCCTAGCAATCTATGCAATTTTGGTGCAGCTTGAATTTACATTGTTTAAGGAATTTAAGAATTTAAAATATAAAATAAATGTTTAGGTATATCCATCTAAAGAACTTCCTTAATAGACTATTAAGTGGTTTATCGGGCCCATTGTACAAGTTTACTAGCTGATAAGATTAATAAAGAAGGGCCTAAAAGATCAAAGGAATTGATACTACACATATGTCACCTGTTGTGACTGTG